GGTGGGCACGATGCAGAGGGTCCATGCCATGGTGGACACCATACCGGGGGTCCGTGCTGTGGTGGGCCCCATGCCGGGGGTCCGTGCCGTGGCAGTCACCATGCTGGGGGTCCATGCTGTGGTGGACACCATGCCGGGGGTCCGTGCTGTGGTGGGCACCATGCTGGGGGTCCTTGCCGTGGCAGTCACCATGCTGGGGGTCCATGCTGTGGTGGACACCATGCTGGGGGTCCATGCTGTGGTGGGCACCATGCTGGGCGTCTGTGCCATGGTGGGCACCGTGCCGTGGTGGACACCTTGCTGGGGGTCCGTGCCATGCCAGGGGTCCATGCCGTGGTGGACATCATGCCGGGGGTCCATGCTGTGGTGAGCACCATGCTGGGGGTCCGTGCCGTGGCGGTCACCGTGCCCCGGGGGGCCATGGCATGGGGGGCACCATGCCGTGGTGGACACCATGCCGGGGGTCCATGCCATGGTGGACACCACGCCGGGGGTCCGTGCCGTGGCAGTCACCATGCTGGGGGTCCATGCTGTGGTGGACACCATGCCGGGGGTCCGTGCTGTGGTGGGCACCATGCTGGGGGTCCTTGCCGTGGCAGTCACCATGCTGGGGGTCCATGCTGTGGTGGACACCATGCTGGGGGTCCATGCTGTGGTGGGCACCATGCTGGGCGTCTGTGCCATGGTGGGCACCGTGCCGTGGTGGACACCTTGCTGGGGGTCCGTGCCATGCCAGGGGTCCATGCCGTGGTGGACATCATGCCGGGGGTCCATGCTGTGGTGAGCACCATGCTGGGGGTCCGTGCCGTGGCGGTCACCGTGCCCCGGGGGTCCATGCCATGGTGGGCACCATGCCGTGGTGGACACCATGCCGGGGGTCCATGCCATGGTGGACACCATGCCGGGGGTCCGTGCCGTGGCAGTCACCATGCTGGGGGTCCATGCTGTGGTGGACACCATGCCGGGGGTCCGTGCTGTGGGGGGCACCATGCTGGGGGTCCGTGCCGTGGCAGTCACCATGCTGGGGGTCCATGCTGTGGTGGACACCATGCTGGGGGTCCATGCTGTGGTGGGCACCATGCTGGGCGTCTGTGCCATGGTGGGCACCGTGCCGTGGTGGGCACCTTGCTGGGGGTCCGTGCCATGCCAGGGGTCCATGCCGTGGTGGACATCATGCCGGGGGTCCATGCTGTGGTGAGCACCATGCTGGGGGTCCGTGCCGTGGCGGTCACCGTGCCCCGGGGGGCCATGGCATGGGGGGCACCATGCCGTGGTGGACACCATGCCGGGGGTCCATGCCATGGTGGACACCACGCCGGGGGTCCGTGCCGTGGCAGTCACCATGCTGGGGGTCCATGCTGTGGTGGACACCATGCCGGGGGTCCGTGCTGTGGTGGGCACCATGCTGGGGGTCCTTGCCGTGGCAGTCACCATGCTGGGGGTCCATGCTGTGGTGGACACCATGCTGGGGGTCCATGCTGTGGTGGACACCATGCTGGGGGTCCATGCTGTGGTGGGCACCATGCTGGGCGTCTGTGCCATGGTGGGCACCGTGCCGTGGTGGGCACCTTGCTGGGGGTCCGTGCCATGCCA